TGCTTCTGATAATGATCATAATTAGGTACCAAGTGATAACATATAAAAATTATTAATGGAATGCATAGATTTTTACAAGGGTGGTGTGAAAATTTATACGATTAGTTGGCAAAAAAATAACTTCGTAACAATGTAAAAAAGTTTGATAAGATAGAATCTAATATTGCGATAAAAAAATTAAATTGTTCACTTAAACTTATAAAGCGGAACAAATGAAGCAATAAAAGGGAAATTAACTACAAAGTGAAAGTCATAATTAATCGAAAGGTACAGTAATGCTACAATATGAATTATTAAAACTTAGTAATAATAATAATAATAATAATGTAAACGAATAGAAGAGAATGAAACTTCATACATTTAATCCCCACTTATGAATTTGGATGAAGCAAGAACAGAAGTTTTTGCAGAATAATATGGTGCCATCATTGCTTATTTCATTGGATCTTCATCAGTTGCTTATAGCCCAAAGACATTATTAAGTTTATGTACAGAAACAATTTTAACATACTTGCATAGAGAGTTCATTTTCAAGCAAAAATCAATCAGTCAATATATGCACACAATGCTAGTAATAATAATAATCACTTTATCTCAAACAAGAATAACCACACACAATGGAATCTTTTGGTATTACGTAATCGGATGAAAACATCCAGTTAGCAGGGCAAGGAAAGACTGATAACTGCGTCTTTCTGAACAAATAAATCGGATCTCAAGCGCTTGATGGAGATTGTTTCGGCAAAATTAGGGAAGAGAATGATTTTTAATTATCCTGCGTTAAGCTTTCCTCATTTAGAATTTAACTGGTTGATGGTGACTAGCAGTGGAATCCAGGATACGCATTTCGTCCTGTTCGGGACTGATCATCATCAACTTGATATGATTATGAGCAATAGTTTGTGCTCGAAACGTCATCAGTTCATATTACTGTACAACACTGTGTGATTTATCAAAATAAAAATCTTATCCATAATGGAGTTATGCTCTACCACAATGTCCAAGTTTTATACTTATTTCGATAACTGATCATCTCGATGTACCTGCATTCCCCAGTGAGTGATGATGTTCCCACCGAAGCTCAAACCCAGTGGCCATAGGTTCAAACGCCAAAGTGTTATCCACTAGACCACTTGGGCCACGACAGCCAGCCACCTCTTGTGCAACGGGTCATATTAATTATTGAATTCAATTTTAGATTTTCCCTTCGATTGATTGGACCGCAGTACTTGGTCTCAGGTTGACATGTTGACTTCTTGTGCAGATACTTCGACGATGTCTGGGCATATAATTAGAAGTTAATTGGTGAATGGTGACTAACAGTGGAATCCAGCATCACGCATTTTCTAATTTAAACTGAAGAGTTTAATTTAGGCGAGTTTAAATTTTACAAAATACGTCTAATCATCAGGTCCATTATGCATTTTTCAATTCGTTTGACGAAACTTTCATTATATTAGAAATTATGGGAACATATTTTGATTTTCTAAATGTAAACACGTTTAAGAGTTGAAAAATACTTTGATAATGCTATATACTACTAATATATGTTAGTAGTTCAGCGGTAAAATTGTTTGCTAATAGCCTAAATGGTACGGTCTTCAATTCCTGACTGATGCACTACTAAACTTTGCCTAGCCGGTAGAAATTAAGATAAAGAGGAAAAGTTGGGCGTGATCCCAAATACTTCACTCCGCAAAGACTACATCATCGCTAGTGAAATGTCAGAAATCAAGCTTGAAACCTTATTGTTCATTGGGAAAACAGAAGTAATTAAATAAAATAATAATAACAAGGAACCCCTCCGGCGGCCTGCTTAAATCACTGGGCTACCACAATTTCCACCCATCAAAACGCCTAAACTCTCCTGCATTATTTATTGTTTAAATCATATAATTATATCAGATGACTATTACATGAACTCTTGCGCATATTTAATTAGCTTTTAACAAAACGTTGTGCATCCCTTGAAGAAAAATGAAGAAAAAGGTGAACAGAATTGGTTCTCTCTGCATATACAACAACGCTAAGTCATATTATCTACTTCAGATTATTACTGTGCATGTAAATTTTGTATGAAGTGGAACTAAATACGCTGAAAATTTCTGTACTGCGTGTTCACATACTGTGTGAAATGAAGCTTTATTAATATTATTATGAGTAATATTGTAACTACAGAAGACAGAGGTCAGGCAACAGATCGTTTATTGAGAAAATCAACAGATATTTATAGATTTCTATGTACATTATTGCTAGCGTTATTGTTAGTGGGGAAGCAACGTCTTCTGATTGGTTGTTTTCTTGCTCAAGGTTATTCTGTACTGCTTGTGACCGTTTCCCAGCAGGTTAAGCCATATATCTGCGAATCGTATTTGCACATGTTAAGTCTGCTGCGATTGGCTGGTGAATTCCTTAAGGTTTAGCTTTATTATTCTTTTGTTCTCATGACCCCTATTCGGGACGTAAACATTGACGTAAACTGTTGTCTATAATTTTCGCTTGCGGACAGCTCTCGCTACAATATGACCACTAACACCAACTAGTAGTATTTCCTAGCTAGATTGAATTGGTCTAAACAGCGCGCAGCTGTTTCTGTATTTTTCGGCCCAGCTCAACAGTGATGCCGATCTCTGTGACTACATCAACAAAATTATGGTTAATATTCATGTCAAATAATTTTGTTTGAAAACAACCACTTATTCACAAATATTTGCAGCACTACCCCTGTGTTGAAGAGAATGGAGCAAAAATATCTACTAATCGTCTTCAAAAAGAATGCATATCTTTACAGTTTCATCAAAAAGAGTTTAAACTCGAGTCATAACACCAACAACAATCCATTCTAGCATATATATAAAAAATATCTCTGAAATAACAGCTAGAATACTAAGACTGATTGAAATAGATATAGAACCTAAGCCAGCCAGCACAATCACTTCATTCGATAATGTGCAAACCAAAAGACCCATCCAACGGAAAAAGAAGACAAATTTAAAACTATTTACAAAATAAACTGTTTGGAGTGTTATAAACATAACATAGGTCAAAGTGGGCCTCCCCTTCGAATCCGAATCCAAGAATACGAATTGGCTGCAAAAAGACATGATATATGTATTCTTTCATATCAATGCATGTAGATAATTGTGGACATCAATTTCATCGGGAGAATGTAGGAGTTTCAAATGAAAGAAACACCTAGAATAATGCCAGAGGAATTTCTAGAAGCCTGGTACTCAAGTGAATTAGCCAGCGATTAACAAACACATTACTACAGATCAAAATCTACTAACTAATAGAAAAATCAATCACATTAAGAAATTTCAAATTCTAAGTCAATAAAAATATGATCAATAGAGACGTAGATTAATAACCAGTCATGACAGTGGTTGCCAGGAGATACAATTACGTCAATCGTGGAGAACTGAAATCGTTTCATTTTATACCAGAACCTGCGCTAAAGATGTTGTCTATAAGGACAATCAGACCTTCGAAATTGAACCAGGGAGTTCAGAGAAGATGAATAGTTTAAAAAAGAGGTGATAAAGATAACCACCCAACAACAATAGCAACAACTACAACCAGCACAAGTTACCATCAACAGGAGAGATTCAACAGGGGTCACCTCCTTCCTTCACTTCCCGGGCTATAAAAGCACGGTTTCCACCACACGCAGTTGCAACAGATGAAGATGTCAACTCTAGGCAGTCAGAAACCGAAAAGCAAAACACGCCTTCATCAATCTGAAACCAGTTCGTAAATCTCTCCTGTCACTCACCAGCACAAACAACAAGATTCGTTCGGATTCTGTTAAACACAAATGTGAAGTCAGTCAGCAAGTCAGTCACTTCTTCTATACGAGTCAGAAACTTCCACCGCGTGTCAGTCAAGAAATGGATTTCTAACAGGCCATTGCAGAAATTTATCAGCAGCTGCCTCCTTGGCTGCCTGATTTCAAACTGAAGATCGGATGGCCAACCAACCGGCTATCGGGTGAGGTAGAATTAGCAACAAGAAATTGTGAGAGGTGACGAACCAACAAGCAGGAGCCAATTGCTCAACAAGCATCTAGGAGACAATGTAGATGGATTGGGCATACACTGATGAGACCGTCAAGTAGTATCGCGCGCCAGACAATGTCTCCAGTGGAATCCGAATGAGAAGCAGCAACGAGTGTGTCGTCAGTGCAAGGGGACATAAAGGGTATCTTGCAGGGGGGAAAGACGAGAGATTGTGGTCACTAGTGGTCCACGCTGTAGAGATCGGCAGAAAATAGGACAAAGTGGAGATGTGTCGTTGAAGCCGTATGTTCTAATTGGAACCCAAGGGAATAATAATAATTATAACTGGAGATTTTGTAGGGTACCGAGAACTGCTGACTCAAAGTCTACTAAGACACAAATTTTAGTTACAACGCCAATCATATACTCATTGCTTTAATACTAGTCTACAAAATGAACTAATCTTGTCAAAGATTTATTTCTCTTAATATGGATTTGAGTGAAAAAATTGACATCAACTACAAAACCACTGAAAAACAAGAAGTACTAAATAGCGTTTTCACTTCAAACCGGACATTTTTCAGTAGCCTGCATTCATGATGCTCGTAAAGAAACTAAATATGACTGATCGTTTCGAAGGTTATCATATTTTATTGCCTAGTAAATGGTTCAATAAGGTTTTCAAATCCTAACGCTTCACAATATACATACATCGCCTGTTGCATAAAATATCTTTACATTCAGCCAGGTAGGTTCCATGACTTCAAGAAAGTCTTTTCAAGAATTGTTCTCTTGGTGAACTTTGAAATTCAAACTGTTATCAGAACAATACTGTTAGCAGCTCTTGTTTTTATTGAACACCTAAAAAATGAATAGGATTAATGCGAGGTGGGAATTACTCATAAACATAAAAATGTTTCTGCTGTTAAATTATAAAACTGAAAACTAAAAAAAATTATTTACTAAAAAAGATTTTTAGGAAAAAAACAAATTCACACTTACCAGAACAGCTTTTTTATTTCCAAATGATTTAGCAGCATCAAACCAATATGGGATAACTATCAATTTGTTTTGTTTTAACATCGATGGTAATTTCAGTTCATTGATACATTTAAACAAGAAAAAAACAATAATAACATATGACGGACATTCTACCATTGAGTATAACTGGATATTTAAATGTTCACGTAAATTATATTAATGTCAGTTAGATAATCTCAACAATAGTTAACAAGAGTTGATTTCTATGGATTTGATCTGCAAGGCAAGCTGATTAACCATTCAGCTACTGCGACCAGACTCAGTGGCCAGCCCATGAATTATAACTTCTCCCAATTTGTTTGGGAAAAGTTAGAATTCACTGCCTGGCCACTGAGGTACTGGACCTTGTAACCGGAATGTCGTGGGTTTGAAACCTGATGGTGGATGTGCACTGTCGATGATTCGTAGACTAGGACGAAACAACTACCCAGTACTCCCTGTGGCTGATTTTCAATAGTTCTCTGACTGATATCAATCGATGGTGCAACTTGAAAAACATCTAGCAAGTTGTTTCATTCCCTAACATATTCTTAAGTGGAAAATTAGACAGGATTCATTCACATGACAGTCAGGTATAACTTGTGATCCGTTTGAGCTCTGACCTAGTAATCTTCAATTATCGATTGATTACATCAATACTAGTCTAACAATCCAAGGCTATCATGGAGAAAAAAACTAAACATTCTTGATTGATCTGCTTCAAAGCTACTGTTCTTTGTCAGACAGTATTCATATTTTTCATGTGAGAGTGAGAAAGAGAAAAGAACAAGTGAGATGAGATCTTTAACTAGTTTGCTTTGTTTCGACATGCAGCCGCATAACCGTACATGCTTAATAAATCATTGTCTCGAAGCGGTAAAACTATACTAAGCAGCAAATGAATATCACATGAAGTTGTAGTGGAGCTGTTGTTATACAGTTAAAAAAAATAAAGCATATTGTTATTAGAAATATTTTATTCCCCTCCCAGTATGGTACTACCTTCTTCTTGGTTTTCTTTTCCTTTAGAAAAGAAACTGTATTTAAGATAATAGATCATTCTTTATTTTAGTGTGTAGAATAATGTGGGTTTTTCGCTGTTGTTGTGGTTGTGGTTATGATATTACTGTGCAATGATTTAGTTTTTTGACGTCAAATAGAAACGTTCTGCTGGAAGAATTTTATCTTCTGTCTTTACTTGTTTCTTTTTTATTCATAAGTGACTCTCTTTCTCTAGGCTTCTTTTTCCAGTGGTCGCTTTTCTCCTCTATAATGATTTATGCAGCCGTAAATACGTACATAAATGATATTCCTATTATTCTGTTCAATAATTAAAACACGAAGAATACAGAGAGAGAGAAAGACAGATATGAACACATTCTTGTGAAATCTGAAGAAACTGCATAATAGTTATTCATCAGTATTCTGCATTATTACTGTTGTCATTATTCCCTTGGGTTCCGAGTGGAACATACGGCTCCAACAACACAGCTAAACTTTCTTCTATTCTCTACTGTCCTCTTCAGCTGACTAGCCACATGATTGCCCACAATCTCTCATTTTTTACTTTCCTAACGATATCCTCCATGTCACCCTTACACCGACGACACACTCATCGTCGGTTCCCATTCGTATTCCACTGGAGCAATGGCCTGCACTGTGGGTAGTGTCATTCAGTGGTCTCGTCAGTGTGTGCCCAATCCATCTCCATTGTCTTCTTCATATTTGTTGAGCAGTTGACTTTTGCTTGTTGGTTCGTCACCTCACACAGTTTCTTGTTGTAATTCTTCCTCACCTGATAGCCGGTCGGCTGACCATTTGATCTTCAGTATGGAGTCAGGCAGGGGAGGAGGCAGCTGTTGATAAAATTCTGCAATAGCTTGTTTGAAATCTATTTCTGTGGACTCACATGAAAAACTTGGAGGATCTAGACTTCGCCGATGATATATGTCTGATTTCCCACAAACCGGAAGATATGCAAGTGAAAAGCAACAAGTTGGCAGAAGAAGCATCAAAGATAGGACTTCAGGTGAACATAGAGAAAACAGAGGTGATGAAGATTCCTGGGCAACACCAACAGCAACAACAATAACAACAGACATCAATTAGAATAAAAGGGAGGAGTCTAAAAGAAACAACCTCCTTCACCTACCTGGGAAGCATCGTTTCAACTACAGGCGGATCGAACTGATGAGGATATCAAAGCGAGGATCGGAAAAACAAGACAAGCTTTCACTACTCTCAAGTCTGTGTGGAGGTCAACAGCATTCAGCGTCAAAAATAAGATCCGGATTTTCAACTCCAATGTGAAGTCAGTCAGTGCTACTATACGGATCAGAGACTTTGCCAGCGCGTCATAAAGAGCACATCAAACAAACTACAGACCTTCATCAACAGCCAGTTGTCTTCGCTCAATACTACTCAAGATCAGATGGTCGGCCAGAAAAGATGAGCAACAGAGATCTCTGGGAGCGAACCAACACAGCAGGAACCGATTGTGAAAAAATTAGGCAGAAATAAATGGAGATGGATTGGCCATACTCTGAGAAAACCACCAAGTGACATCACTAGACAAGCCCTTGAGTGGAACCCGAAAGGGAAACGGCGAGTTGGTCGTCAGTGCAAGGGTGACTTGGAGGAGGTCATGTGAAGAGGAGATGAAAGCATATAGGAAGACTTGGAGCCAGGTGAAATCTCTAGCAGAGAACCGAACGCAATGGAGACGCGTGGCTGAAACCCTATGTTCCTCTAGAAATTAAAGGAAATAATAATAAATCCATTTCTTGACTGAGACGCACTGCAAGTTTCTGACCCATATAGAAGAAGTGACTGACTGACTTCACAACTGTGTTGAACAGAATCCGAACGAATCTTGTTTTTCATGCTGCTGAATGACAGCAAGAGATTTCCAAACTGAATTCAAGTTGATGAAGGTGTATCTTGGCTTTCGGATTCTGACTGGGTGACTATGACATCTTCAAACGTTCCGACTGTCTGTGGTTGAAACCGTGCTTCCTGGCCGGATAATTGAATGAATGAAATGGCCGCTGTCGAATCTCTCCCGTTGATGTTGATTGGTGCTGATTGTTGTTGTCACTGTTGTTGTTGGTTGGTTATCTTCATCACCTCCATTTTCTCTATATTCACCTGGAGTCCTGTCTTCGCTGTCTGAATTTTCAGCGAGTTTGTTGGGATTCGTCTGCAAGTCTTCGAGTTTGTATGACATTAAGCATATATCATCCAGATGCTAAATCCAGATCTTCTAGATTCTTCTTCTTGATCCAACGTATTCCTGTCTTCCTACTTACTTCCAATGCATGGTCTGACGCATAATCCATCACAATTAAGAATATCATCGGTGATAATATTTAGCCTTTTCTTACTGATGTCTTCACTCCCAATGTTTTGCTGAGTTCCCCGTTGTGGATCATCTGACACATGATACTGTTATGCAGCTGTTGAATAAGGTTGGTGATTCTGTGTTATACGTTATATTTATTAGATTATAGTAAATCAATGCAAAATAAGATTGGCTTAACTTAAACACTAGATTGAGTAGCAGAAATTTGTAGTTAGATACCTTATCACCTCCTGAATTCTCTAGAAGATGGACGGTGCAGTAATAGTAAGTAAATACATATATATATTTCAAAATAATTAATCTCAAGAATTTAGTAATAGGAAGCGATGAGTTAGACGTCCTAAGATGACATGGGAAAGGTTATACTGAGAAGCTGTGAGCAACCATGAAGCCAGCTAAGAAAGATCATGAAAAACAGAATATAATGAAGATGTGATGTGGAAGCCATATACGCGACTGGGAACAGAAGTGTAATTTATCATACTTGTACCAATAATAAATTGAGGATAGGTGAAATATGAATAACCAAAGTAAGGAAGGAGTATAAACCAACTTCTTTTGCATACATAAGTTACGCTTCTTAATGTAGATTCCTACAATCTCAGCAGTGTGTAATAGATGAACTCTTGAGTTAAAGTTAAGATTAGTCGGTATACGATAAAGAAGTTTAAAAGTCTTGTAAATGTCAACCTTGTTTTCTGTATCCACGAGATAAGATGAAAATAGAACGGTGAACGGGTGTGAGGACAAATACTCACCGAAGACACTGGCTAGTGGTCTCGCTATATCGTGAATTGGCAAAAGTTGGAATTCATGAACTGGCCATTGGATCGGGTCCCAGTGGCTTAATGGTCTACGAGCCAGCTCGCCTTGTAACCAGAAGGTCCTGGGTTCGTAACTCATGTGGTGGGTGCGTACTGATGTAGAGTCCCAAACTAGGACGAAACAGCTGTTCAGTACTCACTGATAGTTTTCCATTGGTTCTCTTAATGATGTCAGCTCATGATGAAATCCTGCAACCAATCAATCAAATCCCTACAAGCCAACACTTGAATATAAATGGACTTCGTTTTTCCCCTGCTTAACTACGCAGGATGGTGTCCGGAGATCGACGAAAAAGTCGGCTAATTATACTCCCTGTGTAACTGGCTCCACAGAAGCAGTCAGACTGATAGATACACGTAGAAAAGGTGAAATTAAATAAGGTAAAATAGGAGTAGTTTTGAAGAGACAGCATACTTCAGCGACAATGAATTCTCCTTGCACCCTATTTCTCAAACATTGTGTTATTATTTAACTAGTGTTATCAACGAGGAACTGAAGTTGTAGGAAAAAGGTATTTTCGGAACTATTGGTACTTTAGCCTGCCCTGGCTTTAGATTCATATTATTGTCAATGATATTCTCTGCGTAACCTTTTTTTAGAACTTAATAACTGTTTTATGAAATTGAGCACTTCATTAAGACATTCATCAGAGAGCACATTGCTCTTACTCTGTAGATGAAACACTCAATTCGATTGCATTTGTATTTCGCAAGTAAGAAGACCGAGAAATAAGTAAGCATACTAACCAGTTGATGTAGGTTTTCCATATAAAACTTCTTCTCATTGTATCGTACCCTTTTCTCGTTATAAGGACGCTTGCATTACCTTGGTCATCAAGGTTTTAACTACCCC